TGTGGGCAAAGAGATGAAGATGCAGCTGAAATAAATAAAGTCAGAAGGGAAATAAAGAAAGCAAGAGAGTGACAGAAAATAGCGAAGAAAAAATAGTTAGAAAGAGAGAAACGAAAGTTAAAAAACTAGTGAGAGCCAGAGAAACGAATTGAAGAGAGAGAGAGAGAGAGAAAACGAATTGAAGAGAGAGAGAGAGAGAGAAACGAATTGAAGAGAGAGAGAGAGAGAGAAACGAATTGAAGAGAGAGAGAGAGAGAAACGAACCAAAGAGAGAGAGAGAGAGAAAGAAGAAGAGAGAGAGAAACGAATTGAAGAGAGAGAGAGAGAGAGGAGAAACGAATTGAAGAGAGAGAGAGAGAGAGAGAGAAACGAATTGAAGAGAGAGAGAGAGAGAGCCAGAGAAACGAATTGAGAGAGAGAGAGAGAGAGCCAGAGAAACGAATTGAAGAGAGAGAGAGAGAGCCAGAGAAACGAATTGAAGAGAGTGAGAGAGAGAGCCAGAGAAACGAATTGAAGAGAGAGAGGGCCAGAGAAACGAATTGAAGAGAGAGAGGGCCAGAGAAACGAATTGAAGAGAGAGAGGGCCAGAGAAACGAATTGAAGAGAGAGAGGGCCAGAGAAACGAATTGAAGAGAGAGAGAAGAGAGAAAGAAGAGAGAGAGAGAGAGAGAGCCAGAGAAACGAATTGAAGAGAGAGAGAGAGGGCCAGAGAAATGAATTGAAGAGAGAGAGAGAGAGAGAGAGCCAGAGAAACGAATTGAAGAGAGAGAGAGAGAGAGAGGGCCAGAGAAACGAATTGAAGAGAGAGAGAGAGAGAGAGAGAGAGAGCCAGAGAAACGAATTGAAGAGAGAGAGAGAGAGAGAGAGAGAGAGAGAGAAACGAATTGAAGAGAGAGAGAGAGAGAGAGAGAGCCAGAGAAACGAATTGAAGAGAGAGAGAGAGAGAGAGAGAAAGAGAACGAATTGAAGAGAGAGAGAGAGAGCCAGAGAAACGAATTGAAGAGAGAGAGAGAGAGGCAGAGAAACGAATTGAAGAGAGTGAGAGAGAGAGCCAGAGAAACGAATTGGAGAGAGTGTGTGTGGAAGAGAGAGAGAGAGAGAGAGAGAGAGAGAGAGAGAGAGAGAGAGAGAGAGTGTGTGTGTGTGTGTGAAGAACGTAAGAATAAAAAAAAAAGTGGGAACAAATTGAAAGGAGGGGGATGAAGAACGAAAAGAAGTAACATAAACCAGGGAGAGACAGGAGAATGAAGAAACGAGCCAAAAAGAGAGAACAAAGGAAAACACAAAGAAATGAGAGTGAAGAGTGAAAGAAAGACAACAGAAAGAGAGAGAGAGAGTGTGAAGAAGGAAGGGGAGTAAAGAGAAAGAAAAAATAAAGGACAAAAGTCGGAAAAGAAAGAAAGAAAGAAAAACGTAAAAATTTAAAAAAAGAGGGAGAAACAGAAGCCAGATTAAGAGAGAAAAATGAGTGAAAGTAAAATAACGAGAGGAAAATGAGAGAAGGATAAAGAAAAAGAAACAGAAGAGTGATAACAACGAAAAAGAGAGAGAGAGAGAGAGAGAGCAACTAAAACAAACATATGAGAAAGAGAGAGAGAGATGAAAATGAAAAAGAACAGAAGGGAGATAACTGGTGAAGTAACAAAGCAGCCACAGAAATAAAAGGTAGATGAAAAGGAGCTCTAATATAGAAAGTGGGGAGAGATGTTAGGCATTAAGAAAAGAAGTGAAAGAAGAGAAGCCGGGGGGGGGTAAATTAGCCAAAGAGGGGAAGAAGAGAGAGACACACACACACAAACACAAATAAGTATAGAAGGTTAAGAATTATAAGAATTAAATATAATAATCTCTTAATGAAGGATTAGTTCTGGATGCAGCGAAATCGGGCCTAATTAGATGGAAAATAGAAACAGAATAAAGAGCGGCGAGAAATAACAAAAGAATGAAACGTGCCAGGGAAGAAGACAATTGTGAATCCAGCAGGTTTAAATGAAAACAAACACGTGTGCGCATGTGCAGATTGAACTCTGCTGCCAGGAGCCATGTTTTATTTAATTTTTTTTTTATTGCTTATATTAAATGATGAGAAAAAGGATGAGTGACGTCAGAAAGACAAATACTTTGATATGCCTGTGCAACTATGCTATCACTTGCAAGCACTTGTGACATTGTATCCATGTATGCGGGTGCCCCCCCCCAAAAAAAAACAAAACGTACGCATACAGGTAAACTCGAGATGGTAAGCAAAAGATCAGATAATTTGAACAAATTGATTATCTGTTAAATTAGGTAGCATTTTCCCCGTGTTTCGCCAGATATTTCAGATCTCTATATATCTATATCTCTATATCTCTATATCTCTATATCTCTATATCTCTATATATCTATATCTCTATATCTCTATATATATCTCTCTATCTCTCTCTCTATGTGGAAAATAATTTTACTTGTAACGCATTTCGCCTTCGTAATGTAGGCTTTTAAAGTTCAAAATAAAAGACAAACCCGTGTGCGGTGTTCAAAACAGTATTAATATAATTATAAAAATTATATTAAGAAACAGATTTTTCTTTCATTTTGATCTGAACCCGCCTACATAACGAATACGAAATGCATTCCCTATTTACATTATTCATTATTATTACTATTGTCCTCATCTTTGTCGCCATATTTATTACAACGTTTCGGCTGTTGTACGCTCCGGTTGGAATGTCTAACTGAAACATTTATTTTGCTCACTGGAGTAGACTGTTCTAGTTCTACGTGCCATGTTTAATGGAAGTCAGTTATCTCCTGTTAATTCCCCTCTCCAAGTTCTCCACTGCCTTAGCCGGGTATTGAACTCACATTCTTTTGGTCCTGTCACTGAAACGCATTGTCAATTTAAAGCGTTTCCACATTTGTTTGGATTCTATATCCTATTTAGGTGCAAGAAATCAACATAATCCCACTTGTTAATGCACTTAATTTAATGGTAAATATAAAAAAAACAAAATAAAACGTTATGCATTTCAAATGCAATACAGACTGAATTTCAGCAAATTAGTATCGGTCAGGTTTTGAACTTGAATGAACGAAGGAATGAATTCCTGTATTTGTACGCAAACGTGTGGCATACAAATATATTTTATTTTCAAATGAGCCTAGAAATATATCATTAACAACCAAAATAAGGACATGTGCAAATATACACATCAAGAAACGAAACAACTATATCTTCAAACGATAACCGACAAAAAAAAAAAATGTTCTATTTAATTTTTTTTTTATTATATTTTCTAATTTTTGAATAAGGTATGTACTTTATCAAAATGTGTGTAAACTCTCCAATCTTTGTGTGTGTTGGTGTTTTATTGTTGCGTTCAAGTACTTTTGACAATCTTAGTCATTTACAAATACCAATGTCGTGTCTCTATAGTAAGGCAGAATTGTTTACATCCCGGTAATCTGGAAGAAAAAAAAAGAAAAAAAATATTATATATATATATATATATATATATATAGCACGGTGGAGTGATGGATAGTGGTTTGGATTGAGGGATCGCAGAGCCGAGTTCGAATTCCAGTCGAATCCATTACATTCACTTACGTGCTAATACCCTTGGGAAAGGTGTGAATCCTATTCTCCCTCCAGCTATGGGTAAATAGCAGAACAGACCGAGTTCTATAGCCTTGGATGGCAACTGGTCTAGAAGAAGTGTGGATGGTCCTGCACGAGACCTTCAACACTATAATCAAATCTCGTGCTGTTGTCGGGCTGTCGGTTTCCTGGGAACTGATGTAATTGACCCTCATACGTCGAAATCGACGGGAGAGTGTGTACACTTACACGTTTTTGCCGATAGGAAAAATGCAGCTATCGTAACATACAAAATGCATACAAAAACTAAAATGATGACCACATTTGCCTGTCATCCCCTACGGGAAGATGCACTCTTCCCCAAATAAATCTTTAACCAATCATCACTTTACTTTTCCAAACTCAATCCCCCATTGGTTAAAAGAACACTAAAATGTAACTAAAATGTAACAAAGTTGAGACAAAACCTTTTTTCCCGCGCAGGTCTCTGGAGCCTATTTGGAAAGTCGAAAATCTATAAAAAAAAAGAATCGCTCGACTTAATTCAAGTTAGTCAGGCACCGAGTTTCGAGATATACCAGCAGACCCCACGCATGCCAACACACTGACTCAATAACCACTACCAGCCTCTCAACAACTCAACACAACTCGCACAGCTATTGCCGCATGAAGAAACTTAACTTAAAATTTACTAAAAAGTGACATTATCACTACAAAACAGTAATTGTACTTTTACTCAACTTTAGTCTATCAGTTAAAGGCGAACAACTCTTCATAACTTAAATCAACACTAGCAGTTGTCACACACATACACACTATCACTTGAACTTACACAATTGACAATTTTCCTTGCAGATAGCAAACTATTTTAATTTCACAAACAAAAACTATCAACCTTTATTCAGTAAATTTCTGCATGGACAATCTTTGTAACCTTATCTCACTTGCTACATTTTAACATCACTTTGTGTATATATATATATATATATTATCACTTTGTATATATATATATATATATATATATATATAAATAAATACACGTTATTGTTGAAATCTCTAATGACTTTGTTTTCAGTAATTTCTTTGAAGTTGAATTGTCTATTTATTTTTGTTTGATTTATTTGTTGTGGATAAATGCATTACGATCACGCACATTCTTGGCCTTCACAAAAAAATCACCTGATATATCTTACTCAGCATAGATTCCGCAACAACTGAATGAAAATGTCTAACAGAACCAATTCCGTTTCTCTTGGCATAAATTACATATACACATACATATATATATATATATATATATATATATATATATATGGAAATCATTCTTCAAAATATTTCTAGACAACTTCAAAAAAATAAAAATTTTGGTCAGTCAATCGTCATAATGGAAAATAGCCAACATTTCAAGAATTACTGCGTCCTAGCTGAGGAGTGATGTGTTAGTAGCGATATGGGAGTGTTTATAGAACTGGTGGGAGGAGATGTCAAGGCCAGGGAGACATGATGGACCCAGTAGGTGGAGTGATGTGGGAAGAGAAGAAAGGCAGATATTAGAGGAGGAAGAGGAGATTGAAATGTAAGGACTAAAAAAAAAAAATGTTGCAAACCAGAATACAACAGTTGAATTAGAGAAAATTGGGAAAGGCACGAAAATAGAAAATACTTTGTGAAAGAAAACAAAGCAAGACAGAGAGAGAACAAAGAAAAAAAGCGAGAGAGAGAGAGAGAGAGAGCGAAAAGACAAAAAAGAGAGAGAGAGCCAAAAGACAAAAAGAGAGAGAGAGCGAAAAGACAAAAAGAGAGAGAGAGCGAAAAGACAAAAAGAGAGAGAGCAAAGAAAAAAGATAGAGAGAGCGCAAAGAAAAAAGATAGAGAGAGCGCAAAGAAAAGAGAAAGAGAAAGCAAAGAAAAAAGATACAGAGAGAACAAAGATTAGAAAGAGAGAGAGAACAGATAAGAGAAAGAGAGAGAGAGAACAGATTAGAAAGACACAGAGAGAGAGAGATTAAACGACAGAGAGAGAGAGAGAGAGATTAAAAGAGATAAAATGAGAGAGAGCGAGCGAGAGAGTTCATATGTATGAAGAAACAGAAGAAAAACAAAAGGGAAATCAAGAAAAAAAAAAAAATGATTTAAACGCATGAAATAAAGCAAATAAGACAAAACTGATTTTTGGGAAGAAAATCTAAACGAAGAATTAAATTCAAATAGAAATTTTAATCATCATTAGTCGTGGGAGTGGCCGAAAAGGTAAATGAAAAAGAAAAATCGGAAACAAAAGCGGCGGGAAAAGCACCAGAGAAAAATAAAGACGATTTATGAAATAATAATGAAGCCTGAAGGAAAACTGTATACAGTATAAGGGAATAAAAGTGGTGTGAGGAAATGTACGGAAATTAGCGAAGGTTAAAAAAATTGTGGAAAAATACAATGGGAATAGTGTGTGAGAATGTAAGCTAAAAGTATCAAAAGTCAAAGTGAAGCTTGTAAAGACGACAGTCAAACCAAGATGGAGCAAAGAGACAAAGAAAAAAAAAGAATAGAAAAATGAACGATGAGGATTGAAAAGAAAATGAAAATATAAAAAGAGAATCTGAAATTGAAACTGAAGGAGAGAGGACTTGATAGGAAAGTTGTTTAGAGAAAAAAGCACGAGAGAAGGACGGATGAAAGTGAGGCACAGGTTGGGGTAAAATGTTTCCACAAGATCAGAGAGAGAAAAAAAAAAGAACGTTTTGTAGACCCCCTCCCACTACAAAACGATCTTTTTTTTTTTTTTTTTCTCTCTGATGTTTGGAAACATTTTACCCAAACCAGAGCCTCACTTTCATTAGTCTGTCTCTCGTGCAGGAGATTCACAAAGCAAGTAATGGCAGAATATCGGCGCAACTTAAAAAGAAATTGCTGGGGGTCGATGGAATTTCAAGAAATAATTAAAGGCGTCAAAATGCAATGACAAAAAGTGAGTGTAAAGAAAGCGGCTATTTTGAATTATGGAGTCGCAACAAAGTGTTTCGTCGGGAGGACGAAAATTAAGACATTTATTATGAATATGTAAAACAAAGAATAAAGGTTTAGTCGCAAAAGGCAATATACGAGAATAAAAGAAAATTAAAAAGAAAGAAAGAAATCTTAAAAAACGATAAAATGAAGATGAAACGTCAAAGATAAAGTCAAAAGGTAAAAGATGAGAGAAAGTCGAGATAAAGAACAAAAAACAGAAGAACAAAAGACGAGTAAGTGTGCAAAAAAAGAAAGAAGAAACCAAAAAAAGAAAGAAAAAAAAAAAAGAAAAAGAAAGAAAAAAAAAGAAAGAAAAAAAGAAAAAAACAAAAAAGAAAAAAAAGAAGAAAAGAAAAAGAAAGAAAGAAAAAAAAGAAAGAAAAAAGAAAGAAAGAAAAAAGAAAGAAAAAAAAGAAAAAAAAAAAAAGAAATTGAAAGAAAGAAAAAGAAAGAAAGAAAGAAAGAAAGAAAAAAGAAAAAGAAAGAAAGAAAAAAGAAAAAAGAGAAAACCAGAAAGAAAGAAAAAGAAAAAAGAAAGAAAGAAAAACCGAAAGAAAGAAAAAGAAAGAAAAGACGAAATGAAGAAAGAAAGAAAAAGAAAGAAAGACGAAACCGAAGAAAGAAAGACGAAACCGAAGAAAGAAAGACGAAACCGAAGAAAGAAAGACGAAACCGAAGAAAGAAAGACGAAACCGAAGAAAGAAAGACGAAACCGAAGAAAGAAAGACGAAACCGAAGAAAGAAAAAGAAAGAAAAGAAAGACGAAACTGAAGAAAGAAAGAAAAGACGAAACCGAAGAAAGAAAAAAAGAAAGAAAGACGAAACTAAAAGAAAAAAGAAAAGAAAGAAAGACGAAATGAAAAAAGAAAAAAGAAATAAAGAAAGAAAAGACGAAAACCGAAGAAAGAAAAAAGAAAAAAAAAGAAAGAAAGAAAAGAAAGAAAGAAAAAAAAACGAATTATGGAGAAGAAAGAAAAAAGACGAAAGAAAGAGAAAGAAGACGAAACCGAAGAAAAGAAAAAAAAGAAAGAAAGACGAAACTCAGAAGAAAGAAAAAAAAAGAAAGAAAGAAAGGTGAAGAAAGAAAAAGAAAGAAAGAAAGAAAAACGAAAAAAGAAAGAAAGAAAGAAAAGAAAGACGAAACCGAAGAAAAAAGAAAGAAAGAATGAAACCGAAGAAAGAAAGAAAGAAAGAATGAAAAGAAAGACGAAAAGAAAAGAAAGAAAGAAAGACTCTCAAAAGAAAGAAAGAAAGAAAGAAGAAAGAAAAAGAAAGAAAGAAATAAAGACGAAAGAAGAAAGAAAGAAAGAAAAAAGAAAAACGAAAGAAGAAAGAAAGAAAGAAAGAAAGAAAGACGAAACCGAAGAAAGAAAAAAAAAAGAAAAAAAGAAACCGAAAAAAAAGAAAGAAAAGAAAACTGAAAAAAAGAAAAGAAAAGAAGAAAAAAAGAAAAAAGAAAAAAAAAGAAAAAAAAAGAAAGAAAGAAAAAGAAAAAGAAACGAAAAAAAAGAAAGAAAGAAAGAAAAAAAAAAAAGAAAGAAAGACGAAAAAGAAAGAAAAGAAAGAAAAGAAAAAAAGAAAAAAAAAAAAAGACGAAAACCGAAGACGAAAAAGAAAAAAGAAAGAAAAGAAAGCAAAAAAAGAAAGAAACCGAAAGAAAGAAAAAAAGAAAGAAAGACGAAACCGAAAAAAAAGAAAGAAAGAAGAAAAAGGAAAAAAAAAAAAAAAGAAAGACGAAAACCAAAAAGAAAGAAAGAAAGAAAAAGAAAGAAAAAAAGAAAGACGAAAACCGAAGAAAGAAAAAGAAGAAAGAAAAAAGAAAGACCTGAAGAAAAAGAAAAAAAGAAAGAAAGACGAAACCGAAGAAAGAAAGAAAGAAAGAAAGACGAAACCGAAGAAAGAAAGAAAGAAAGACGAAACCGAAGAAAGAAAGAAAGAAAGACGAAACCGAAGAAAGAAAGAAAGAAAGACGAAACCGAAGAAAGAAAGAAAGAAAGACGAAACCGAAGAAAGAAAAAAGAAATCGCCTCCTCCGGCAAAGAACGAAAAAAGAAAGAAACCGAAGAAACCGAAAAAGAAAAAGAAAGGAAAGACGAAAGAAAAAGAAGAAAGAAAAAAGAAAGAAAGACGAAACCGAAGAAAGAAAGAAAGAAAGGAAGACGAAACCGAAGAAAGAAAGAAAGAAAGGAAGACGAAACCGAAGAAAGAAAGAAAGAAAGAAAGGAAGACGAAACCGAAGAAAGAAAGAAAGAAAGGAAGACGAAAGGGGAAGAAAAGAAAAAGAAAGAAAGACGAAAAAAGAAAGAAAGAAAGAAAGAAAGAAAGAAAGACGAAAGAAGAAAAAAGAAAGGGGGACCGAAGAAAGAAAAGAAAGAAAGACGTAAGAAAAGAAACCGAAGAAAGAAAGAAAGAAAGAAAGGAAAACCGAAGAAAGAAAGAAAGAAAGGAAGACGAAACCGAAGAAAAAAGAAGAAAGAGAAGAGAAAGAGAGAAAGAAAAGAGAAATCGAAAAAAACCGAAAGAAAGAAAGAAAGAATAAAAGACGAAGAAATTAAAAAAAGATAGAAGAAGAAAGAAATGAAGACTGATCGAATTTTGTGTAATGGTTGAAAGAAAAAGAAACATTGGATGGTGAGAGGGTTGGCTTTGAAAAGTAGAGCAAGGAAACACGAATGCACATATAAAAAAGAAAGAAAGAAAGTCGTGAGAGAATAAAACCTTCGATGGTGGTAAAGAAAGGCAAATGAAAGAGGACGAAACCGAAGAAAAGACAAAAAAAGGGTTTAGGGAGAGAAATAATTGAAAGGGTTAGAAATAGAAGATTTATTTTTCAGGACTAAGAAGAAAAGAAAGAAAGAAAAGGAAAGATAATATAAATAGAAACAGAAAAAAATGAAGAAAGGAAGAAAAAAAATGTTAAGAAGAAGAGAGAGAAAAGAGAAGACGTCAGAAAGAGAGAGAGAGAGAAGAGAAAGACCAAAGGAAGACGAAATTCGAGAGAGAAAGTCTAAAAGACCAAACAGAAGACGAAAGAGAGTGTGAAGAAAGAGAGAGAAATGTGTGTGAAGACCAGAAACACAGAGAGAGAAAGAAAGAAAGGAAGACAGAAAACACACAGAGAGAGAGAGAGAAATGAAAGAAAAGACGAGAGAGAGAACCGAAGAAAGAAAAAACAAGAGAGAGATTTTGTGTGAAAACCACAGAGAAAGAAAGTGTGTGTGTGTGTGTGTGTGTGTGTGTGTGAAAGAGAAAGAGAGAGAGAAAGAGAGAGAGAAGACGATGGAGACACAGAGAGAGAGAGAGTGTGTGTGTGTGAAATGGAGTCCCAGAAAGAAAGACGAAAGAGAAGAGAAAGTGTCTTGGAAAGGAAGAGAGAGAGAGAAAAGTGTGTGAAGTAATGGAGAAAGAAAGAGAGAG